AGGAACTTTAAAAAAAACATGTCGGACACCCCCCCCCCTCCATTATCATTTGCAGTATACAGATACTAAAAGGTCATCATGTTTGGTCATTTGCCCACTTTCAGCACACATCTCCTTCCAATCATTACTGTCATAATGGTCCCTTCCCTGTCCCAACTACCCTCTCCCCCAGACCTTGAGGCAGGCTTCCAACCATGGACCATTCATTCTGACCCTTGGGGCAGGCTTCAACCCATGGTCCATTCATCCTGACACTTGTTTCTACTGTCCTTGGGTCTATGAGTTTTTTTTTTTATCCTACCAATGAGTGCAGTCATCATTTTATGTCTGTTCTTCTCTTTCTGACTTATTTCACTTATTTCAGTTAGCCTGATCTCCATTTCCATCCATTTATAAGCAAATTTCATGGCTTCATTTTTCCTAACAGTTATATAGTATTCCATGTGTAGATATATCATAGTTTTTTTAACCGGTTGTTTGTTCTCAGGAATTCAGGTTGTTTCCAGATTCTGGATATTGTGAACAGTGCTGCAATGAACATACACATGTAGAGGTCATTCCTGCTGTGTATTTTTGCATCCCAGGTGTATATTCCCAGAAGTGATATTGCTGGGTCATATGGAAGCTCAAATTCTAGTTTTTTTGAGGAATGCCCATATTGTTTTCCAAAAAGGCTGGACCAGTTGGCATTCCCACCAACGGTGAATGAGATTTTTCTCCCCAAATCCATGCCAGCAACAGGTTGTTCTTATTCTTTTTGATGTGTGTCAGTCTCTGAGGTGTAAGGAGATGCCTTATTGTTGTTTGCATGTCTTCTTTGAGAAAGTTTCTGTTCATTTCCTTTCCCCATTTTTGATGAAATTGGAGGTTTTTTCTTATAATGTTCTACCAGTGCCTTTTATATCTTGGATATTAACCCCTTATCTAATGGATACTGGGTGAATATTTTTCCCCATTCCTTGGGCTGTCTCTGTATCTCAGTCACTGTTTCTTTTGAGGTACAGAATCTTCTTAGCTTAATATAGTCATGTTTGTTTATTTTTGCTTTCGCTTGCTTGGTCAAGTGGTGTTTCATCTTTAAAGATGCCTCGAGTAGTTTCAGTATCATGAAGGGTTCTGCCATATACTTTATGGATTCAGATCTGATATTGATACTGAAGTTTTTAATTCATTTTGATCTGACTTTTGTGCCTCATATTAGACAGAGGTCTGAGTTCATTTTTTGCATGTACTTGTCCATAAACTTGATTTTCTAATCAAAGAGCAATGATTTTAAGTGGCAGGTTAGGATGAGTGGGTTGTGAATAACCTTAGTTTGTGGCCAAGTTTTTATTTGTAATCCATTCTTTCCATTTTTTAGTGAAGCACCAGGGTTTACAATAGTGATAATTTTACATCTTAATACATATATCATTCCAACAACACCTCCACCACCAGAGGGCCAGCTTCCCTACGTGTGTCCCATGTCCCATGCCCTTCTAGTCATCACCTCCCCAAGTAAATTCATTTCCATAGACACAGTTTCCGGTTATCATGAACTTGGTGTAACCAACATTTATTTTTTAAGTGTATAAATTAAGGAACTGGACTGGAGCAATAGTATACAGGCTAAGACCTTTGCCTTGTGTGCAGATTACCTTGGTTTCATCCCTGGCACCACAAAGAGTGGCCCTTGAGCACAGAACCAGGAGTATATTCTGAGTACTACTAGGTTTAGACCCACCCCACTCCTCAACTAGACAAGTTAGATAGGATAGAAAATATCAAAACATGTCATAAAAGGAAAGTATAAATATTGTATTATGAACTTGGCATAGGTGTGTGTATGTGTACATGTCTAGAATATGCATATACACGCATCAATAATATTTAAAGATGGGACTCCCCAATAGATGTTCAGAATGGAGCTACCCCAAATATTCATCATTTTGGCATGCAGATTCTTTTGAATGCAGGTCAGCCAAGTCTTGAAAATTCATAAGTTTTCGTCTTGCACTTCACTATCCAGGAGAATAAAAATTGGGAGTATTACCAATAATTAAAGTCTTTTATGTCTTTAAATGAAGAATAGTCTTTCTACTGAATAAACTTATCTATACATCAGATCAAATATTTCATTACAGAGCACCTGGTCTTCATCAACTGCCTCATTCTCCCCGGTCATATGAGTGTCCTCTCTCTCATCTAGAATTCCAGGCTCCTGTCCTGTTCCAAGCATTATTTGTCCCACTGTCTTTTGAATCCATGTCTATTTAGATTATTAATACTTATGTGATTAAATTTTCTATTTTTTACCAACTAATCTCTCTGATACTAATTCCACTGCATATTAACCTGGAGGAATAAGAGTTTTTCCTCTCTGATGATTTACATAGTCAGTACTTATATATGTATATGTGAATGCTGTATTCATGGATTTGAGAATTTTTCTCAAGTCAAGAGAAAAATTATTTTGTTAACCCCAAATTTTGAATGATATTCTTTAACTTGAATGCAATAAAATTACTAAGTGTGCTTTATGACAGTGTACAACATTTTATCAGAAATTGTAACAAGTGACCGATATTTTTCAAAGAAAGCAACATTTTTGAATGGTAAAATTGCTTTTAAATTTTTTTCTTCTCTGTATAGTCATGCTGTCAATAATCAACATTTATCCGTTATCTTTTATGAGAAAACAATGGCTCTATCTTTAAAACCAACCAAACACAGAATACTTTATACGTTGGATAGGAAACTCTTTATTCCCACAAATGTCTATAAAAGGGGGGTGAAGCAAAAATTAGAAAAATGTAGAATCACTTCAAGAGCAAATTATCCGTTTGTGGTTTCATTTTGTGGATAGGTTTCATGACTGTGCAGTAAGTGCTAAGTTTATGAAAATTTTCTCCCAAGTGCCTCCAGCCAGGCAAAAAAAGTTTAGGACATTCACTTTTTATCACTTCCTGAATTTCTAAACTGCAGGGAGTTTCAGTTAATTACTGACTGACTTGGCCTTTTCTCAAAGGAAAGCCTCCCAACAATGCCATTGCTGATAAAGAAGGCAGATCAAAAAATGGGAAGAAGAAATGAACAGAAAATTCCTCAAAGAAGAAATAGAAATAGCCAAAAGAAACACGACAAAATGCTTTACATCACTAATCATCAAGGAGATACAAATCAAAACAATATATCATTTCACACCATGGAGACTGGCACACACCAAAAAGAACAAGAGCAACTAATGGTGGTATGGATGTGGGGAGAAAAGAACTCTTCTTAATTTCTGGTGGGAATGATGATGGTCCAGCCATTTTGGTAAACAGTATGGGCATTCCTCAAAAAAAAATAGAAATTGAGCTTCCATATGACTTCTGGGAATATTCCCCTGGAGCCCAAAAACTTACAGCAGGAATGCTATCTGCACTTCTCTGATCATTGCAGTACTATTCGCAATAGCCAGAATTTGGAAATATCATGAGTTCCCTAAGAACAGATGACTGGTTAAAGAAACTCTGGTATATTTTATACAATGGAATACTATGCAGCTGTTTGGAAAAATGAAGTTATGAAATTTTCTCATGAATCCATGGATGTGGAGAGTACCGTGGTGAGTGAAAGGAGTCAGAAGGAGAGGGATAGAAATATAAGAATTTGACTCTTTTGTGGGATATAAAAATACATAATGTGAGACTAATACGCCAGTACAGTAGAAACAAGGGCCAGGAGGATTAGCCCATAGCTGTAAGCCTGCCTCAGGTGCAGGGGAAGAGGACAGTTGGGATAGAGAAGAGATCACTGTGACAAAGATAATTGGAAATGACTATTCTGGATAAGAACTGTGTGCTAAAAATAGGGAAAGGAGGGTAGTGGAAGGAAAACTGGGGACATTGATTGTGGGAAATGTATAATGGTCGAGGCATGAATATTGGAACACATTCGGCTGAGATGGAATGATTATCTGAGGATTGAGTCTAATCAGAGTACCTTACCAGAGTAATGGTTCAAGGAAGATGAGTGATGTAACAAGTACGTGGGAGTTGGCATGGCTTTAAGATGGAGGAAGAAGCTATAGGTCTAGGACTACAGTGGATTCTTAAGCTAAGAAAGAAACAGGTTTTACTAGAACCTCAAAAAGGGTTACAGCTCTCAGGACACCCTGAATTTAGACCCATTTTGAATTTGTAACTTCTACAGTTGTGTGGAAATAAATCTGTGTTTTTTTTAAGCTATTGAGTTCATAAAAATTTGTTTTGGAAGCAACGTATGACAGATAATTCATGTTCCAACCCTTCCTATTCTCCCAGAAGTGTAGCAGTCTTCTTCTTCTTCTTCTTCTTCTTCTTCTTCTTCTTCTTCTTATTATTATTATTATTATTATTATTATTTATTGAATCACCATGAGAAACACAGCTACAAAGTTGTTCACAGTGTACTTCCCACCACCAATGTCCCCAATTTCCCCCATCTGTATTTTGCTACATTCTGCATTCATCTCTATTGCTAGCACTTCTCTCTCTCTCCCTCTCTCTCTCTTTTTCCTTTTGGGCATTATGGTTAGCTATACAGGCACTGAAAGGTTAACATATTTATCCCTTTACCTACTTCAGCACTCAGTTCTTGTGCAGAGTGATCATTTCCAGCTATCACTGTCATAGGGTACTTCTCTATCCTTACTGCCCTCTCCCATTCACTACTGAGGCAAGCTTCCAATCGTGGGTAGCTCATTAAGAAGAGAAAAAAAGTTGAGGACTGGATAGCTCAGTCATGTGTCCTTGCATAAACAGGGTCCCAAGCTGATCTCTGAGCAGCACTGGGTGGAGTATTAAATTGATTGCTTGAATGTCAAGTGACCTTGGTCCCCCTGAGCACTTCTTGGGAGCTTTCCCAAAAAGGAAAAAAGGTTTTAAAAAGACCATAGCTTCATTTATTTTATTTACTTAGAATTTGAAAGAGAAACATGTTCAAATAGCTAGATTGCGAACGAAAAAACAAAACGAAACAAAACTCATTGTATCATCAAAGGATTTACGCAGCTTGTAGCTGACTCTTCAGAATTTTCCTGAGAATATTCTTATTCTTTGAGACTTGAGGATCCAAGCAAATTTTCCTCCCTTTCTTCAGTGTAGCTCTGCCGAGAAAAGGAACAGACAGTCTCAGAGTTTGGGGCTGAAAGTGTGTTTGGCTGGAGGGGTCGGCTGGGGATGAAGGGAAAGGCAGAGGATGCGTGTGAAATAACCAACAAGAACTCACATCACTTGGAGGGTAGGACAGTGGGCACTGGCCATAATCACCTCCAGGCTGGAGATGTGCTTGAGGTGGAACTGGGGGGTGGTCTTCACACACAGGCATTGCAGGTCTCTATCTCCTTCTTCTGGGTCCTCTGGGATTGCTGGAGAGGCTGAAGTGGAGTGGAGAGAGAAGAATTCATAAAAGAGCAAACTTCTTCAGGGATCTTTCCCACTAGCTTTGACCTTCATTCCTGTTCGATAAGTCATTCCCTCACGAAGATGGTAAAACCCCACTGGGTCATTCTAGCTCAGTGCTTGCCCTTAGCGAGCTGCCCCAAGGGTTCCTGACTCCACCCTGGCCCTGTTGCCCCCTGCCTGGATTTTAGCTTCTGTTCTCACCTTTGGTCAGGGCAACCAGAGCAGGCAGAAGCAGAAGCCCCAAGAGCAGCGCTGCGACGCCGGGTGGGAGGCAGGAGGCTCGGAGGCTCATGTCCAAGAGCGGAGAGCAGGACCAGAGAGTGCAGCAACCGTTGGCTGGGGACTGTGCAATCCAGTAGTTCCAAGAGACTCTCTGGGCCCATTTTATTGCCTGAATAGGGCCAGTGCGGAAGCCTGGGATGGAGGGCTGGGGAGATGCAGGGCAGCAGCTGAGGCATTTCTGGGAAGTCAGGCTCTGGCCAGTCAAGATTAGGAAGAAGAAAAAAAATGAGTAACCCCTGGGTCAGCTGCTCTGGCTGAGAACTGGGAGCAGAATCCACACCCTCAATTCACACACGTGCACATTTTGGTTGTCGGAAACAGTACTTGGGTGTTATAAACTGCTTGTTTTCTTTGTGGTGCGTGTTGTCTCTGCCTTGCAGCTCACCCTGTGCATCACCAGGACATGCAGTTTCTTTCCTTCCTTCCTCCCAGCTCCCAGAGCACTACCTGCTCTCACATTCCTCCTGTGTTGATTGTCTCTGAGTTGCCTTGGGAGATGTGTCCTGTAGGTCTTTCAAAAAGAAAGATGAGTGGAGGGCAAATATTTCCTCCCAGTTCGTGGGATGCCTTTTTCTTTTACTCATTGTTTCTTCTGCTCTACAGAAGCATTTTAATTTGATGTAGTCTCATTATTTTTTTTATTTTTGGGTCACACCTGGCGATACACAGCAGTTACTCCTGGCATTCAGGAATTACTCCTGGCGGTACTCAGGGAACCATATGGGATTCTGGGAATCGAACCCAGGTCAGTTGCGTGCAAGGCAAACACCCTACTGACTGTGCTATAACTCCAGCCCCCATAATCCCATTTGTTTGTCTTTGCTTCCATTTGTTTTACCAAAAAAGATAAAGATAAAGGCCCTCCTGTTGATCGTCGATTTGCTCGAGTGGGCCCAGTAACGTCTCCATTGGAGACTTTGTTGTTACTGTGTCTGGCATATCGAATACTCTCGGTAGCTTGCCGGGCTCTCCGAGAGGGGCGGAGGAATCGAACTCGGGTCGGCCATGTTGGCCGCTTGTAAGGCGAACGCCCTACCCGCTGTGCTAAATTGTTGCCAATGTCTCTAGATTCAAATGTCTTGAAGAGTTCTTCCTCTGTTTCTCTTAGCATAATTTATGGATTTAGGTGTGATATCCATTTTTAATTCACTTTTGTACATCAGGGTGAGAAAGGGCTCTAAATTCATCTTATGAATATGTGGCTGACCACCTTTCCCAACACCAATTGTTGAAGAGGTTTTTAAAGTTCCACAGCTACTCTTCGATTCTTGTTAAAAAATCAGCGTCCACATAACAGCACTCACTTCCATTCCCAGGCACTCAATTCCAGGCACTTTTGGGAACTCAGTTCTGAGCTGAGAATCAGTCTTTATTCCAGTACTCTAGTGCCATACTGTTTTTATTACTATGGCTATACAGTATAATTTGAAGTTGGGGAAAGAGAAGCCTCCTGCTTTCTTTTCTCACTACAAGTACCTTTATTTTAAACCTCTCCTTTCTCTTCCTTTTTTTTTTTGGTTTTTGTTTTGGGGCAACCCTGACATTGCTCAGGGCTTACTCCTGGATCTACACTCAGGGATCCTGGGGACCATATTGGACACAAGCCTTGCATGTGCTATATCTGCTGTCTATTGCTCTGGCCCCCATTTTGAACCTCTCCTTGCAGTGCCTTTTACTTAGATGGGGCACAGCCAGATTTACAAAATCATTTAATAAAGTAAACTTAATCTAAATTGATTCAGATGAATTTTGTTTAGTTATCTTTGTCATTGCCATCTGCTACTAAACTTTGGAAATTATAAAAGAAAATAAATCTAGGCAAAATCTCCTTTTTGAATTTTCTTGGGCTCTAGGATGGAATACAATTGCCTCTATTCATTGTTCTCTAGATGGAAACAAGATTTGTTATCTGATCTATACAGAGAGTGAGTGATTTTAATAATGTAAATGCAAGAAAATGATTATATTAGAAAGTTGGAGTTTATGTACTGGTGACATGGTCCTTTGACTGGTTTTAGGTCTTATTATTTTCATTCTTTGCTGCCTAGCATAAATAACTGATTATTGCCAAGAACATACTAGGCTTCCAGGTTTTGGGTGTTGACTTGCAAAAACTAAAAAAAACAAAAATGAACTGATCAAAATACTGACATATTAAGGATGGGACCAGTTACTGATCTTTGTATAAGCATATAGATATTTGCTTGGGGAATAAGGCAATGTTACAGTCATCAAGTTTTGCAGCATCTGCACAAGGTATTTTCCACAGGAGGCAAAATTTTCTGATTTATTCCTCTTCTAGGTCAAACACAGAACGTTAGATCTATAAGGTTCCAGGGCACATTCCCAATGCGTGCTGGTAGCTGGGATCCTATCAGTGATGAGATTTGCCAGTATTGTTGGTAGGGTCAGTGAGGATCTTAGGAAGAATTAGGATATCTGAGAGATTAATGTGGAGAGAAGATAGAGGATGCGCAACTGAATCTTGCTCAGGAAAAATAGAGAGATGAAAGTGAGCCATCTTTACTTTAATGTGTGCATATGAAAATAAATGACACCTCCATATTTGGAGGTATTAGCATAGTGCAAACATTGTATTGTGTCTCAGCTGCTGTCCTGCTAAATTTTAGTAGGAAAATATAAGAGTTATGCATGGGATTGTAATCCTCAGTTATTGTTTGTTTATCTGTATTTTCAGTGGTAAAAATAAAAACGTGGTTTTTTTAGACAAAGTATGGTAAGGCATTGAGCCTATAATGATATAGAATTGGGCACAAAGAGCTTATTGAATCCATTGTTCAGCTAGCAAGTGATGGAGCCACGTTACATAATTATTCTTTATCCAATGGATATGTTCTTTTTTTCTGTGTGGTTGGGACATAGGGCCAGCCAGCTGCATCCAGCTATGCTCAAGGCTTTGTCCTGGCTCTATGCTCAGGGATCACTCTCAGTAAGGTTTGGGGAACCATATGTAATGCCAGTAATTCGACATCAAGTCCACTGCATGCATGACAAGTGCCTTGCCCACTGTTCTGTTTTTTTCAGCCCCTCAAAGGTATGTTCTTAATCAGGTCATAACTATTTTATAAAAATAAATGGAGCGATAGCACAGCGATAGCACAGCGGTAGGGCGTTCGCCTTACAAGCGGCCAACATGGCCGACCCGAGTTCGATTCCTCCGCCCCTCTCGGAGAGCCCGGCAAGCTACCGAGAGTATTCGATATGCCAGACACAGTAACAACAAAGTCTCCAATGGAGACATTACTGGGCCCGCTCGAGCAAATAAAATAATTTTATTTTTTTTATTTTTTTATTTTTTTAATTTTATTAAAAAATAAATAAAATAATTTTATTCTGGCATACAACGTAATATTAAAATTTCATATTAAAGTAATTAATAAATTTTAACTAATATTACAACACATGATACATATCATCTATGACCATATAACCACCTTCGTAACCATATGTGAAATGACAAAGTGTGGGAAAAAGATAATGAACCCCCCCTTCAACAGTGATATTAATGCCAGTGGCATAGAACAACAATAAAAAAAGTAAATTTTATTTTACTATTTCTGAAAGAAGAGTGTAGTGATTAAGAAATGAATGAAAATTTCTATAGATAGCCGATAACATTTAAATAATCTCATACTAATTTTGAGGCTAGTATTTTGGGGTTACCCTATGGTACTCAGTGGCAATTCCCAGCTCTGTGCTCGTGGGTCACTCCTGACAGTGTTTGGGAAATCATGTGGTGCTGAGGATCAAACTTGAACCTCCTACATGCAAAGGACATGTCAGCCTGATGAGCTATTTCTCTGTCCCCTCAAAACTAATTCTAAAACTAAAATTGGAATCATGAAAAAATTAAGTAAATGCAAATAAGTACAAACATGCCAGGATAAAACACTTAAAACCAGTTATAACCCGTTGTTATTGTCTGAGATGTAGAAAAATTTCTTCTTTAAATTATTGGGATTCTATGGTCTACCATACTGCTAGTAATGGTTTCACATGCATAGAACTCCAACACCACACCCATCACCAGTGAACCCACATCCTTCCCCCAAGAAAGTGTTTTTTTTTTAAAAAAAGCATATTAATATTTTTCTCATCACATAATTTGGGGCTCTAATAGTTAAATATATTCACTTAAATAAAAACAACATACAACACATTCATTCCATAATTTTATTATTTTTAGGGCTTGAGGACTAATTAACTTTAGATTCTTACAGGGGATGTGTTGGGACAAGACACTTGGGACTAAATAATTGCATGCTCTATTAAGTTCTGAAAAGTATTAGCAAACATTTATTAAACAAATGCTCTAGGCTGAGTCCTTTGTGATTCCTATTGCCAATTACCACTGAAGTTTATACTCATGGCATGTCTAGTTTCACAGTGAAGTACAGCAGGATAAATGTTCACAAATCTATTTTCAAAGAAAATTTTAAGAGTTGTAAAACAGACTACCATGTTACCCAAGAGTTAGGGAGATAAACCAAATAATATACTTTGAAACTAGGCTTTCTCTCATCATCTCTCTGCTGTCTAGTGATCGGCCTCAGAATAAAATGTGACTATTTGAGATGGAGTGGAAAACATCCAAATTTTAATGCAGTATAAATAGGTTTTCTGGATAAACAAGAACTCTAGAAAGTCCAGACTTAAAAGCATCTTGTCCTTTCTGGGAAATGGAAAGATTTGACAGAAAGCAAACAAGCTAATTAACTGGCCTATCACCTTCTAAATATTTCTGGACTATTTTCTTGATTAGGGGGGCTTCGGGGTCCAGGCAGACTTTCTTCCCATCCGTCAGTGTGGCTCTGTAAGAGAAAATAGGATAGACTAAATGAGTGCCCTCGCCTGTCAATCAAAAGGAATCCAATGGAACTGGATTTTAAAAACTGTTAGTGTGGATCGAGCTGGAGGGTTGTTTCCTACTCAGGTGACATAATAGAAACAGGAACTTACAACACTTCGACTTGGGCGCAGTGCGCTGCGGCTCTGATCACGCTCAAATTTTGGATGCGACTGGGATGAATGCCAGAGACCGTCGTCAAACACAGGCAGCGAAGTTCAACGAACTTCTTACCGCCTGCTCTTCCAGCTAGGGTAGAAAGGGCAGCTCACGATTAGTTCAGGGACCTAATCTCTCCACTTGTTTCCTCTGTTCACTGTGTTTTAATTATCCTGCTCTCCTAAGGCCATTATTGAATGTGATCCACAGGCTCTTAGCGAAGCACCCAAAAGAATGCTTAAGTGCTTCCCAAGCAGGGAAATTGTGGAGCTTATGGGACCTCAGGATATTTCAGGGTGGGGGGCCAAAGGTGTTAACTGCATAAATGACTAAAGGGGTAGGGGGGTGGAATGGTAAGTCAAAAGAACCATAGAAAGGAGGCAAAGTTGGAAGGGGGTTGTGATGAGAAAAAGATTAAGAAACTGCCTTAGAGTCCTCAGAACAATGTTTTCTAGCACCCGGAGAGTCTGTACCCCAAACCCCGCGTCAGAAGCAGCCGTTTCTCTTACTTTCTCCGCTGGTGGGGGGCATCAGTGTGGTCAGGAGCAAACACAGCAGCAGCGTGTGTAGGGCATGCCGGGGGCTGGCACTGGTGCAGGAGAAAGAGACGGAGGGAGGTCGGAGTCCCATAGTGAGGGATGAGTTTGACGTGTTCCGAGACCCGAGAGATCTCAGAAATCCACCGCTAAGTGGATTTGCACGCTCAGGCCTTAGTCTTTTATATATGCGTCCTTCAAGGCGGAAAGGAATAAAGGAGGGGCAAATGAGTGTGTCTATAAATACGCGCGGCTAAACTGTGCCAAGCAGATAACCCAAGCGAGTCAAAGTTCCTGCTCAAGTTTACTTTGGCCTCACTTTGTTCCTCCTCTTTCCCTTTGTCAGTTGGCATTTCCCTCAAACATACATAGTAATGGAGGCAGGGATGTCAGAACTAGAGTGAAGTACTACATGACCTTTCGATGCTCTGCCTTTCCAATATGTATTTTATAGTTTTTCTTTCTTTCTTTCTTTTTGCTTTTTGGATCACAGCCGGCGATGCTCAGGTGTTAGTCCCGGCTCTGCACTCAGTAATCACTCCTGGCGGTGCTCGGGGGACCATATGGGATGCTGGGAATCGAACCTGGGTAGGCAGCATGCAAGGCAAACCCCTTACTCACTGTGCTATCGCTCCAGCCCTGTATTTTATAATTTTATTAGACGTTATATGTATATCTGAAGGTATAAATATGTGGTCATGGCCCCCCTGGAAGAAAAGTTACCTTCCCTTTCCAGTTGCCAAAGAAAGCAATGTTCCTAGCCTGGTTGCTAATAAATGTTGAGAGCAGGTTGATAAAACATGAGCCAGTTACTGTCAAAGACTTGTTAATTTAAGAGTTTCTTTCCATCTTCCAGATGGATTATCTTTTGCAATTCTCTCTGAAAACAGGAAGTAAAACTATTTTTTCCTTGTGTTATAAAATAAGCTATGTATTTGGTACTCTCAGTGTATACCCTAAAAGACAAACCCAGCATATTTTTTCCTTTCATGTTAATATGATAGAGAAATACATAATTTATTGCAGAAGATTCCTATACTGCAGATATATGTGGAACATAACCTGCAAGTTCCTTTTTATAATTTCTCTGATTTCTGTTACTCTCCAATGGTTACCATTGGTAACAGTTGACTTTCATTTTCTTGTTTATCTTCCTTCTACATATTGTATTGACAGACATACCTATAATTATGGGCTGGAGCAATAGTACAGTGGTAGGGCATTTACCTTGCATTTCGCCGACCCGGCTGACCCGGCAACTTTGATTCCTCCGCCCCTCTCGGAGAGTCCAGCAAGCTACCAAGAGTGTATCGCCCGCTCGGCAAGGCCTGGCAAGCTACCTGTGATGTATTCGATATGCCAAATACAGTAACAAGTCTCACAATGTTACTGGACCCGCTTGAGCAAATTGATGAACAATGGGAGGACAGTGACAGTGACATATAATTATATATTCACATATACATAAAGGTTAGACTAGGTTTTTTTGGGGGGTGGGAGGGGAGTGGGCCATACCCAGAATTTCTTAGAGCTTACTCCTGGCTTTGTGCTCAGGTATCACTCCTGGTGTTGTTTGGGGCATCCAGATGTAGTACAGGAGATCTAAATGAACAGGTCTGATGCATGCAGACAAGCATCTTAATTCCTGTCCTATCTTTCTGCCCTGAGGTGGGTATTTTTAAATTAACCTGGCAGCTTTTTTTTTTTTTATGACTCTCATCTAGTTTTCATTTGGATGAAGGGAATGCCACTTACTTTATTTCCTTTTCCTCTTTTTCCTTGAAGTCATTGTAGAAATAGAACAGTCATTCAGGAAACCACCAAGTTTTCTAAGACTCAGACCAAAATTTGGTTGCTTGAGTACTTTTAAAAAGTGTTTAAAATCATCAGAGGGCCATTATCAGCTAAAATTCAGACATATACAACTCTGTCTTATGTAGAAGACCATGAATTTACATTTCCCAGGAATGAAGGAAACATGCTATTACTTGGGCACCCAAGTCAGTTGAGACCGCATGCCACCAAGTAGGGGAAACTTCGCTGAGTGGGGAGGAGGTGAAGGAGTAGTAGGGGAAATGCTTCCTGCCTACCATTACAGAGAATACTGTACCTGTGTAGGCCTGAAACTTTTCATTTCCATTGTGTTGGGATTCAAAGAATGGTGACTCTCTTCTAATGCTTCTTATTGTGGAGCAAGTCAACAACTAGCAGTGTGATTAGCACAACAATCTAAATTTCAATTTCCAGTAATTCTGTATATTAGCCAGGGCTTCTTCTGCTGTCAGTCAACCTGAACACACTCCAGTGGGTTTGAGGATCTAAAACATGCATGATGGTCTCTTTCACAGAGATGTTATTGCTGGGCTGAGATTTCTTTGGGGACAGCTTCTTCTTTCTCCTCCTCCTTTTTAATTTTTTTTAATCAGTGCAACTACCTCCATTTTATTTATTTATTTTAATAGCACAGCGGTAGGGCATTTGCCTTGCACGCAGCCAACATGGCCAACCCGAGCTCGGTTCCCCCGCCCCTCTCGGAGAGCCCAGCAAGCTGCCGAGAGTATCTCGCCCCCACGGCAGAGCCTGGCAAGCTCCCCATGACGTATTCGATATGCCAAACACAGTAACAACAAAGTCTCCAATGGAGACGTTACTGGGTCCGCTCGAGCAAATCGACGAACAACGGGGAGGGCCTTTACCTTTACCTTTATTAAAGAGCCACGATTCACAAAGTTACTGATAGTTGCGTTTTAGGCATACAATAATTCAACTCCTCTTTCTTCTGTAATTGGCATGATTTTTCTTAGGAATAAAAGAAAAGCAGAAAGGCAGAAAGGAGGAAAGAAGGGGGAGTGAGTGAGGCCGGAGAGAGACAGAGAGAGAGAGAGAGAGAGAGAGAGAGACAGAGACAGAGACAGAGACAGAGACAGAAACAGAGACAGAGACTGAGACAGATTTTCCCATCACAAAAATGAAAATGCCTTTGCACTGAAGTTGTGGTGACTGGTCTGTTTTGCTTTCATCACCTCTTAGACACGCTCACAAGATGATATTTGAAAAGTGCCCCCCCAACTTTGTCTATAAGGAAAAAGCCCTAAATCAAATTATCTCATAACCCAATGTGCCCATCTTGACCACAAACAGCAGATCATTAGCCCCACCTTTTTTACTTCTTTTCAGATTTGATTGGCACTTTCTCTAACCTGTACCATCAGCAGGGCTACTTGAATACAGAGCCAGGAGAGGAGTTAGCCCTGAGTACTGCAGGGCATGCTCCCGCAAAATAAATAAATAAATAAATAAATAAATAAAACTTGATCACTTGACTTTCTGTTAATCGCCAATTTGGTCAAGTGGGCGCCAGTAGCGTCTCCATTTGTCCCTGTTGCGTGCTAGTGTAGTCCAATGGTGTCTGTTCGTTCTAGGAACACGAAGAGCCTCAAACCGATTGTTCATGATCTTGATGAAGAAGTCTGACCATCTGATAGGTGGGCGGCCACACAGTCTTTTGACATCCCCTGGATGTCGGTAATGGCTCTAGTCCAGCAGTCGTCTCTAAATCTCATTACGTGACCAGCCCATCTGATTTTTGACGCCTTGGCAAATGAGACAGCGTCCCTGATTCTTGATCGTCGACAGAGGTCAAAAATCCAGATTCTTTCTCTCATTTGAGTGAAACGTGATATTCCAAGCATAGTTCTTTCAATTCCTCTTTGGGAGACCCGAATCTCTCATCCTGTTTTCATAGGGCCCAGGTCTCTGAGGCATATGTTAATGCAAGAAGAACAGCGGAATCAAAGAGGTGTGTCTGAAGCCGGAGGTTCTTTGTCCTCTTAGCTATTTCTTCGACGCTCTTGAAGGCGTTCCAAGCAGCTTTCTTCCTCCTGCGCAGCTCAGGTGCTAGGTCATTTGTCACGTTGACTTCTCAACCTAGGTACACATAGCTGTCACATTCGGAGATGGTCATTCCATTGAGAACGAATGGGGCATCAGGAACGAGGCTGTTTCTCATAAACATTGTCTTTATAAGATTCAGCTGGAGTCCTACCTTTCCACACTCATGGTCGATGTTGGCCAGCGTTTGTGCTGCTTGGCTAATGTTATTAAGACAATGTCATCAGCAAAGCGGAGGTGGTGTAGTTGCCGACCATCTATTTTCACTCCCATTCCTTCCTATTCCAGTTGTCGCATGATGTTCTCGAGGGTGGCTCTGAAGAGTTTCGGTGAAATGGTATCACCCTGCCAAACCCCTCTCTTGACATCAATGATTACGTCTTTGTAGAATGGTGAGATCCTAAAACAAATTACAATAAAATTAGCATTGTGGTTACATTTATGCTCATCATAAAAAAATTAGCACTGCAGTTTTTCTCTGGTTCCACCTCTTAGAATTGCTGTGATGGTCTTAAAACTGCCTTATCAGACAAGGAAGTTGGTGGTTCCGGAATTCTTAGACTGGGCATGACGATTCCTAGAATAGATCTTCCTCATCATGAATTTGTGCCCTCCATGACTAGACATAGTTTACCCAATCCTGTAGGTGCTACCGCTTTTCTCCAGATATACCCTGGGAGTGAAGGAGGAAGATGGAGCGATGAAGGAGAGCAGGGAAGAAAGGAAAAAGGAACAGAAGAGACTCAACCTCTCCACTCTGTTCTCACCTTCTCTCTTTCTGGTTCCTCCCTCTGTCTCCTTTTCTCTCTCGTTCCAACCCTTCCTTAGTGCCTCCAATGTTCATTTTTTGAGGGGGGATTGTGTGATTTTGCTCAATAACTTTCTCCCCATTGTGCTCGGAAATCACTCCTGGAAGTGTTAAGGAGGACGAGTCTGATTTCCATGTGCAGGGCAGGTCTTTCACCCTGTACTGTCTCTCTGGACCTGGTCTCTGAAACTTTGATAGACCTCCTATATCCCTTTTATCAGGGTAGCAAACCACAGCTGTCTTCAGCTGCTTGAAATGGTCACCCAAAACAGCAGAGATCCTCCCTGCTCTTATATTATAGCCCATGGCCCGAGAGAACGGAATCACCAAGAATATGTCCACTTCCTGGGGAAAATAATCTAATCTAACAACTGGCAGATTACAGAGATCGTCCTTCCTTTTTCAGAATATCTTGAAATTCATTCCAGGGGCAGAGAATTTGGGGGGATCTCTTGATTTGCCTGGTAACATCGATTCTTCCTAACCCAGT